ATTTCAGTCTATACACAAACTTAATTTTAATTTTTAAATGTTGTTGTTAAAATTAAAATTAAAATTTAGCGCCTTTCATCGTTATTACGATGTTACAATTTTCAGCGCTTATTATTTTACGACATGTTTCGATGCTATTGCATCATCCTCAGGTTTTTTATTGTTATTTTCATCTTTAAAACTAATATATATTTATTAATGCAAGCTTTTATTGATTTATTTGTTTTGTAGATTTCTTCCTTTTGATCTTCGTAGTGTTTTGCATATTTTTGGTAACACAAACATGACGCATCTAAACTACAAATTCACAACTTGTGTTCTGTTGTATTTTACTAAACATGCACTTGATTTATCGAACACCAAGGCTGAGAAATTACCACTCTTGTTTCGTATCGGAAGGTCCTGGGTTCATATCTCAATCCGTACACCAACTATCCTCGCTGATAGTGGTTTTCTTCAATTCCACCAAACAAATTCCAGGATAATATCTTAAACGCCTTCCTTCCACATCTTTTTCTACTCTTTATTCGTAATATTGGATGTTTTATAGTCTTGAGTTACAGTCAGCGTCGTTGAATAAAGTGACAAATGTTCTGTACTGGAAAGCGCTTAGAATAGAAGGTGTGTAAGATACTAATTTATTGAATGAGGCACTGTCTTGAGGTTATAGACGAAGTTTCTGTGGTCCTCGTGTAACGCAAAGATGACCTCTTTGAAGTCTATTGGCAATTATATGTCCAACCTGTTTCAAAAATCGGTATTTTTGCATTTAGTAAACCGCCACGGTGGTCTAGCGGTTAGAACGCTGGCCTTGTAATCCTGGGGTCTCGGGTTCGATTCCCGGCGGTGCCCGAATTTATAACTTGTGTTGGGCAAGGCCGTGGTCTAGGCAACACGGAGTTTTCCTCCGTGGCATCCCAACAATTACTCCATTCACACACAGAAGAAGGCAATGGCAAACCACTTCTGGATCATCTGCCAAGAACGTATATGAACAGGTCCCAGTCCGAGAAAAGGATGGAAGGATCCTGTTCATATGGACCTGTCGTCAGACAGGACACTAAATAATAATAAAGTTTCTTATGATTATTACTGTAACCAGCGGTTATTTTCTTAACAGCGATAATCAGTTGTATTTTCTATGCCTTCCACTGAAGATGAGTGGTAATCTTCACCTCATGTACACTGTAGATGGTAATAATTTTGTAGTGTCGGTGGTAACTACATTGACCACCTATGCACTGAGACAAGATTCTAACACACAGCCCGCTCTTCGTGCAGTATGTATAAGATGGTTAATTTTAGGGAAGTTTGGTGTGAGGGTATGTGTAATCTGAGCAGAGGAAACAAGAAAGCGTATATAAGTTTGATTAGAAAAACTCGTAGTGAGCATAGATTCTGAGATATAGTCGTGTGTTGGAAGGGTAACAGTATTATACTGTGCCTTAGGGAAATATCTTGAGCAGATCTGAATTTGATTGAACTGGCTTAGTACAGAATCCGGTGGTGGGCTTTCGCGTGAAGTTTATTGAAGTTCAGCTCCCAAAACAACACGGAGTTTCTTGAATAATTGAATGACTATGGGTTATTCAGGGAACACACTGTGGTAAGGCGGAAGTTAATTAGTTTGGTAATGACGTCACCAACACCATGGAGCAGAGCCCCGTTGAGAATCTGATATCCTATGAATTAGTCAAGAAATGTCTTGTCTTTTATGTGTACCCGAAGATCCATTTTCGTGTTCAGAAGAACCTACCACTGTTCATACACTTAGCCAGCCGAATCAGTCTACAGCTTTACACATTATGTAGGCACAACTTTAATGTTATCCACTTCAAGGTCATCCGGTTTGTCCTACAGATTTTGAACTCATTTATAAACTTGTCAACGAGTGAATTGTTCTCTGGTCATGCTAGTTATTTTTATGTGATTTGTTTTGATAAAATTAATTTTAAAGAAGGCGCGATTCTCCATTAGCGTTTTATTTTTCAGGTGTGTAATAACATTCGAAACGAAGTAAAGTAGACGTGGTCATTACTAGGTTTTCGAATATTGCTTGTATTATAAAGCCTCATGCAACGAAAAATTCAGCTGATTCCTTTTACTTTCGCGTTCGATGCAAATTAAATTTAAGACAGTTACTCATTGAGTGCATGAAATTTGATTTAAATTTGCCGGTGAAATCTCTGCTTAAAATTTCAAGGTCTTTAACCTTAGGAAACTATAAGTTTATCTAAAGAATAGGCTATTTAAGCATTCGGTCCGTACCTCAAAGAAAACATTGCGTCTCCATTACAAAGACAAGTTGTTTAATGCTGTTTAGGGAAGTATTTACTGTTTGTTATGAAACTGTATCCACAAATACAGACTCTTGGAAAAGTTCAGAGTTCCTGAATGCTAAGAATTTGGTAAGCATGGTTACCACTGTGATTCAAAAGATAAACTAATGCTCTGTTTTTCACCACTCATAAGCTTAATGTATTTCGTCGATCGATGCTGTACATCCTCTCCATCAGGCACGGCGTCATTAAATTAATAAAATTTACCCGTAAACATGTCCATATCACGCTATGAGGGCGTATGGGTTAATGGAGGTAAACCTCCACACGAAGAAGGCTGTCTTCTGGGATTGAGACGCCTTGTAGTCTGGTTGATACTGACAGATGTTTCAGAGGAGCTTACTGCTTACATCATCAGGGTAACCAGACTACAGGACATAGCATCGGAGAAGACAGCTCTCCGCGTAGTCGTCGCTTTGAGTATCTGGAATCAAAATTCCAAGCATTGCTGGCTGGAAATGGTCGATCAAATCTGTGCTATGAGACTTCAGCCCTACTGGATCTTGATATGAAAATATGGGTCTTAAGGTAGTTTTATGTATAATACAAACAACGTAAAATCGCGAGAGTTTTGGGGACCTCCCCCGTCAGTATCGACGCAAATAGATCGGCATACAAATCCCTACAGATAACATCACGTAGGCTAAGACAAAGAGTTTAAAACCGACTATAATCGACGCTCTGACGTCACATGAGCCGACTGCTCTGAGGCCTTTAGGATACCAAAGTCTGACATTTTGTGCTTCAGAATCTGAAAGAAAATCTTGTAATCCTCCAAGGACCCCCAGTCTCTCATATTTCTGTTTGACTATTACATAACTATGATTCATGTGTCACTCTTTATGACAGTTATGCTGTTTGTATACCCATCATAGGCTGTTTATGAAGATGTAATTTGTATTTTTTACTGTCTGGATTCTAGACTTTTAATTATCACTGGAATTTATGCAAATATGTGCAGATTCATTAAGACACTGCCCATGAAGGGATGAATGTTAAGTCTCCGATCATAAATTTCATATTATCGTATTAAAATGTCCTTAAACCCTGATGATTGAGGCGACACTTTCGTCAGAACGCTGGTTACAACTTACAGGACAACCACAGTTGATCTCTTTGTGTCCCTGAGAAACTCATATCTTACATTACGAAGATAGTTATCAGAATTACTCCTGAAAAGTAAGTGGTAGCTTATGTATTAAGGCGTAAGTAACAGTTTGTTCTCACAATCAAGGATTCTGTTACTGTGTTTTTCTTAGAGTGTCATGTTTATGTCCACTAATACTGGGCCCTTGAAAATAATATTGACTTCAGACATTTTGTTTGACTTAATCACATCACGCAATCATGTGAACGTATCGATTTAAGGTCGTGTGTCCCGTGGGCATACGCGCATTTCAAGATGATTTCAGATCTTGTTGGTGTAATTACAATTCGGTATTTAGGTCATGATTCATATGACCCTGGTTCGGCCACCAATTTTGATACATCAGCGTGTCTTCGGTCACGTTTCTTTCATATTCGCTACCGCCAAACCATTTCCGAAACTGTAAATTCAGGAGCGTTTCGACGCCATGTTCGGCGTCGCGTAGTTTAATAAGTGACGTCACTAGGTTATCTGGATGTTCTCTTACATGCTGTTTGCTCAGCGTCTGGAACAGTTTGTTAGTTACACTTTTCCGTTGTGTGTTCGTGTATTCTTTCTTGATTTGTCGATGTAAGTTGAAATCAAAATCTTCTTTAGAACTGAACACAGATTGAGACAACACTAAGGTTTCAGATCAAACATATCGGTTGGTATGTAAATATATAGGAGGAGAAGTGTTGGGGTGTTGGACAATGTACAAGATAAGCTTTTGTGGTAAAACTGACAAAGGACATAAGACGAATCAATTTTATTTAGTATTCCATTCCAAATATAACTAAGTTATGATTATAAATACCGGAATTTGTGTAACGGCTTGTCGCGTTGTTTCGATAATTCTCAGCGTTGCTACGTATGTGATATAGGTCTGCAGAATCAGTTTCAGGAAACACAGAACCTGACAGCGGGTAATCGGAAGTGTGTATTGATTTTGTGGACCTGTGTTCGATACTACATTAAGAAAGTGACGACGTTTTGAAATTAGGACGACGGATTCTCAAGGAATTTTACTGAAATGCTTGAATAATTGTGAGTGATGGCTGTAAAATTACGAGGAAGTCTAAATAATGTCTCTAATTTTATTTAATTACTTTAGAAATGTGCACGAAAAATGTTTTATAACTCGAAAATTGTATGATCATAAACGAGAAGTTATTGAAGCAGAGAGTTAACATAGAATTGTAGCTGCTTTGAGCAAGTTATAGTAAATGACCTTTAGGTGAAGGACAATGTTGAAGCCTAGACATACCCGACTATCTTACCTGACATTATTTTAAAATTAAGCTCTTCATACCTGTAATAGTTTAGATATAGAACCTGTACATGTTATAACTGTAATCCACCTCGACTGTTTTGATGAATTTAAAGTAGTCTTAAAAGTAAAATGAACCCCAGTTTAGGTCATGCATATGACGTCACGAATCTGAAAAGACTTTCCGCAGAGCGACCATGTGCCTGAATAGAAACATGCATTTATACGGGGTTTGAGAGCGCGCCCCACCCACTCGTCTACTTACGCGGCTAGAGCGAAAGGCCCAGATGTTCCGGGCCGAACGATGGACGATGCAGCTGCCAGAAGGATGATTCTCCAGGAGGCGGGTAGGTCGAGGCTCACAGTAACGATCCGCATCTTTTCTTTGAGGTTACTTCTTCGTCTTCTACGATATAAGGAATGTGTCTGTACGGTCTAGACGACGAGAACGAGGTCCTCTGCACACGGATGTGGCGGCCACTTGCCTACAGGGCCCGCACTGTACCGTCCCGTCATCCTGAGACTAGGAGGTTTCGTATCACAGCGACCGCACTGATTTAGTTCTCAACACCACTGTCCCCCCGGCAGGCATTGGAAATGTTGATCAACGAACCCAGGGCCGGTTGAGGCTTGCGGGTACGGCATTTACCTATCTTCTTGAGGCCTCCCTCGACTTCAGTATGCCACCAGGTCCGTTCTGCCCTCCCCTCTCCCCCCTCTCTCAATTTTTTTTCCGCCCCACAGTTACAGTTAGCCTGTCTGGTCCCAGCCCAGCCCTCGCAAGCTCCAAGTATTGATCCCCTGTATGCAGACCGCCCGGCAGAGCGCGTAGCCGGTACTGTTTGTGACACAGGGGACACACAGACAACAAGAGGGGGGTGTATGCTTCCAGGCAGGTCAGGAGCCTGCTTGGAGCCCCCTTGATTCTTCGCTGTAGGAATACGAGAGAAGGTGACGTCACGGCTACCCTGTGATCACAGGCCACTTGAGGTATCAACACCTGAGCCACAGGCTTGGACACTGGAACAACAGTTCTTTGTTTCGGGCCGCCTACAAGTGAAAGCTTACATCTGGCGAAGATAAAACCGATTTAAAAAAAAAAAATAATTAGGATAAAGTGACTTAAGTGTAGGAAGCTGCTCAGTAATCACGAATGTCCAGATTAAAACGTACCAAGTCTCTCCCCAGAGAATACTTTCATCGGGATCAACGCGCCCCCCCCCCCCCCCACCCCC